CCATAAAAACCGAAAATAGAACCCACAAAAACTAAAGGACAAGAAAGAAGACAAACCGACACTGCTTTTCCAGTGATGATGTCATGATTACTTTAAAAAACAATAACCAACAAACATCCAACAACCCATCTCTCTACATTTTGTGTCTACATGCCAGATGGAAACCCCATTGGCTTTATAAAACCTGTCAAATCTCTAAGCTGGATTTCCCTCCCCCCCCCCCCCTTCCGATCCATTTCCCCCTTCTTCTGTAATCAGTTGTCTACCGTGAAATATTGTTACATTATTTTATTATCAAGCACACTTCAATCAAAACAATTTGTCGCTTTAAAGGACAAGCAGACAAACTCAGATTTCGGGGTTTCCAGAAATCTTGACCTACACCAAAAATGAGCATTGCCCTACCTATAGGAGAAGTTTGGTTTCATTGGTGTGTATATTTGTTTGCTTGTAGAGAAAACTCTCCTTGTCTTTTAAAGAAAATGAACGAGGGTCCAAAACCTTTCCCTTCCATTTTCTCAAAACAGCTTTTTTCGGGATAGTCCCCTTGGGCTTAAAAGAGATCAATTAAAATTCTATTTCTCCAAATAATCCGCTAGTGGCGAGTAACCTTACTTAGATTGCCCCCTCGTTCCCAGCCGTCTGGTCGTGATGTTCTTGAATTTCTGTCTGATCAGCTGAAACAGCAAGAAAGTAGAGATCATGTTTCATAGCATTGTGATAAATCACCTCCCCTCCCCCCCCTCTTTCCCCCCATTCTCCCTCGAGAGTGTTTACCTTCCAATTTAGAAACCGTCTGCTTTTCTATTGACCCAGTCACTGTATGGCTTCATGTGTCTGTTTTTTTTTTTTTTTTTACATTTATTGTTTTATTTTTAATGCAGATGATTTTACTCCTCTTTCAACAAAATTTAGATCATTTAGAATATATAATATAAGAGACGGGCTTCTTACCCTGCCTGTCAGGGCCAGCCCAGGTTCGGAGGGATACAACATTAGAGACGAACGGAAAAAAGAAGCTGTTTCTTTGACCAAAGTCTGGGCAGTGCGAGTAGATCACACACGCCGAGGGTTGGTGAGGATAGGGTTGAGGACATCTTGAAATTTTCCCCCATGTCAAACTCGTAGAATGCTTACTTGCCCAAAAGTAGCTGCTCGTGATCTATTCACCCGTGCCAAAACAGGGCAAGACAAAAAGGTACTATACATGGTCACGTAAATAGAACTAGCTGGGCCGCCTTCCTATGAAAGGCATAATCGCTGTATTAACATCAACTGAAAGCCATTGGCATACTATATTAAAATTTACACTCCTCTTGAATGGAGCAATAAATCTTGAGAGATGCAAACAATTAGAAAGTTTAATAGTGATGTACAGATTGATTCTCCATTCTGCTTTCGTGGTTGTACATTCCAGAATTTCAAAGGTGCGCACGGTTAGTGAACGGAAATTTCACGTGTTTACAATGGCGTTTTAGAAGTCGGACTTTCCCAAGAATAGAGATCTAAACGAAACTAATGAAAAACTGAAAATTAAACTAGTGACTTCAGGCTCCTCAATAAAACTGTGCACCCTTTAAATGATTCACAAACCCTTCAAAAACCACCATTCATTTGGTCAAAATCGAAAGTTAAGTGGTTGGGAAGTTTTAGGCGGCCAAAGTGACGAACTTTCACAAATAGAATGTATAGAGATGCTTACCTTCCCAAAAGTAGCGGCCCCTGCAGGCTTGAAGCTGTGTCGCTTACAGAAGTCCAGGTAGTGCACATATAACACACACCGAGGCAGACAGACTCCTTCTGACAGCTCGTAGTTCTCAGACAACCTGGGGAAATAGTGAAATGGTACAGGTTTAACGCCCCTGCCTTTGCCAAGGACACAACGTCGGACCGAGCCGAGGCTCGAACCCCCGAACCCTCAGTCTCACGATTACAGGTCTGGTAGCTTGACTACCCCAGGAAAACAATTCATTAAACATTTTCTAATTCGTTTAGGAAGAATTCAACTGCCAAATTTGTCGATACATTTTCTGCTAACAGGCATGCAAGCCAAAAAACAACAACAAAAAAACCCACACCAAAAACCACCCACAAAAAACAAAGAAAAACAACGAACTTATTTCCATGAAAACTTACTGCGGTATTCACTACGTAAGACATGTCAACAAAATCCAATATGGCCACCGTCACAACGGCAATGAATTTTTTCTGAAATGTGATTGTGGATTTGACGACTCCTGACTATGCTTGTTATATATGTGAAATTTGGCAAAATTTGATTCACTAATAAGTGAGTATAGCCTTCAGGTGTAGCCCCCCCCCTTACAGACATAGTGGACACGGATGTCTGATCTCTGATCGACAGATCAAACCCCGTGTTGCGGCATATCGCGACCTCAGATTTACATGGTCGCTTTTATGCACAAGGGGGATATCGTCATTTTAACCTCTATTTCTTTTGTATGTTTGTCACTCTCTTGTGACCCACTATTTCCGGGGTGCCTTGATAGTCGAAGCAGACTTTGTGCTGTTGAAGCTAGAGACGTGAGCAGAGTAAGCCTGATTCCCTGTAAGGACTTCTCTGTTGACATCCACCGCTCGGCGCTCATTTGACCTTATGCAGTTGCGAGCGCCGTAAAGCCTCTACTAAAACAAACAAGAAGACCAGATTCGACTTTAGTTTGAAGTAAGTCTGTGAAGTTTGTGAAGTCTGCGACCAACAGACATGTCCGGAGAGACAGACAGACACAGCAGCATGTTCGGACGATAAGCGCGGAGATAAGGACAGACCTGGACAGCCAGTAATCACAGCGGTGGCAAACAGTCATCAAAAGAAAATGTCGGGAAAGACGAGTGAGACGTGGGCAGCTGACGGAGACAAGGGACGCTGATTAATGTCGGGGCATCGTGGGGAAATTGGGCGCTCGTCGAAAGAAGGAAATCGAAGAAACTCACAATGTTTTGACCCGTATGACAATTTTTATCGATTTTTCTTTTTCTTTTTTTTTCTTTTTGTGTGGTTTTTAAAAAAAATCAACACCGTATACATAATATGCCCCTTTCAAAATCACATTTCTGAGCCGGTTTCAATGGAAAGACGTTGATCAAAGGCACTGAAAAAATAATACTGTGATTTTTTTGCCTGCAGTTTCCAGGGACACTCAAGCTCCGGAAGTCGACAAACTTTGAAGTCCATTTTCTCGTGAATTTCACCTCTGCCATCTGGAGACCACCCCTCCCCCTCCCCTCTCCTTCATCAATAGCGACATTTCGATTTCTATTCAAGATAGAATGGGTCTTTTAATCGAGAGCAAGAAAAATGAACAAGATTTAACATTATATCAGAGAGTTTACAGTAATACTATTGCTGTAAACCCTCTCTGATTATATCAAAAACTCTGCAGTATTCCCCAAAATTGACGAGCGCCTGATTCCACAGTGTCGAGGGTTGATAGCTTGAGTCCTTTGGGCTTTTTGTTTTACCGCGTGCTATCTCTTTGTCTTCTGTCCGTTAGGGGGTGGGGGTG